CACTCAATCCAAAATGGAGGCAACGTGGTCGACGTGCCCAAAGTTACATTAGGTGCGTAAATTATTTTTGGGTAATATGGAACGCTTACACAGTGAAAATCTCTCGCCGACACGGCGAGAAGTAAAGTCTCTCTTCTTCTCTGTTTGCAAACAGAAAGAGAAACGGATCAATCGCAGAGTTGGACGCGCACTCGTGAGCACACCACCGAAGGAATTCTGGACGCTTAAATGGCCTGTGGCCACTACCAGTCCTGTGACCCGACCTGAACCAACAATCACAAATGGCAAATTTTGCCGTGAGATGGACCGCAGGCATGTGCAGGATGTTCTTCGCCTGGCGGGAATGTCCCCCGCAACGAGCACTGTAAAGTGTCACAGGGTGGGACTGTGGAAGAGGGAAAAGGCACTACACCCACGTCCTCTAATGGTGACATTCGGCAGCACGCCTGCTAGTAATGTGCTACTGACAAGGGCCTTAGATGGTGAAACCATTACTCAGGAGGCTATAACGATTAACCCGGACAATGGTACACTGGGTTACAGACTCCCTTCTCCGACTGTGACAAGATCGACGGGGACTGCGGTTTGCAAACCTGAAGTCAAGTTACACGGAATTGGGGAGCTCCATAAAATCAAGGTAACAGCCGGCATACAAGAGCATGTGAGTAGCGTTTCGAGCGCGACTAAGCCGGTTGAAAAGCCGAAAGCATCACCCTTGGGTGAATCGACAACAAAGTTAAGGAGTGTCTTACAGCGCACGGGACCTCAAGCCAAAAAAGTACCCAAAGCCAAGAAAACCCAGGTAGCTCCCAAAAGCATTGCTCCCGACCTGGCAACCGAGGTTATAAAGCAAAAGAGCACGAACGTAGACAAAGAGATAACTGCTCCTGCAAGGGAACAGCATCTTGAACGAAAGACAGGACCACTGGAAACACCAGAAAGGTCAGCTGGATCCCGCAGCTGGGCCACGGTAGTGGTCAAAACACTTCGGCGCAAGTCAGCCGTGGTGAATGGGAGCTCCAGTGGGCCAGTAGACCTGGAAGATCTTGTGAGTCCAGTGTTAGGCCTCAGAATTACGAATATAGGTCAAGCCAAAGGTGGACTGTAATGGGTAGCCAAGGACATGCCCATCATCAAGGTTATAGCAAACCACGAGATGGCTCCTCGGGTATTACGCCCGAGGACTCTGATGCTATCGACAGGCCATTCCCGCCAGATCGCAAAGCAGAAATTATCACAGTGTGGTACACAAATGCTTGTAATATTAGTGGAAAGTGGGGGAAATTAGGATCAAGCATTCGGGGATCAGACATAGTTGGTAATACTGAATCATGGCTGAAACAGGATCAACCCGTTGCTAATTTAAGCGGGTATACGAGCTATAGGCAGGACAAAACTGACTGCAGATAGGGGGTGGAGTGCTGCTGCTCCTCAAGGCAAACCTAAACCAAAGGGCAATGCAGCTGGAGTTAGGTACTCCGAATATCCAAGCCACAGGATGTTGCATTCAACTGGGGGCTGAAGCAAGTGGGTGTAGTATGTATATACAGCCCCGAATACGATTCCAGAGGAAGATACGGAGCTGCTTATGATCCTACAACAAGCTGCAAATACCGTCAGCCGGTACCCGATGTCCCCGGAGTGCACTGTGCAGGATAGATGGGAAGTAGTTAAAAGAGGGTTAACTAGGCTCACAGTAAGTTTCGCACCACTGAGGAAGGGCCAAACCCGCCATAGACCAATGTGGTGGAAGCCCACGATAGAGGGGGGGGGGCTCAAAATTCGTTGAAGATACTGGGATCGCTTCAGGTCTTACGACACTCAACAAGCTTGGAGTGGCTACAAGCGGGTGCTCAACAGATATCACGACTTCTAAAGGCGTGCCAATTCAAGTTTAACTTAGCTCGAGATGTGAAAAGAATCCCAAAAGCTCCTATGCGTACGTGCAAGCCAACGCACGCACACGGCAGAGTGTAGGAGCACTAGCTGTGCCCGATGGAGGCATAGCTACGTGTAACCGTGATAAAGCGGAAACCCTACTGAAGTTCTTCAAAAGCGTGTATAGGACCCCAGCTAATGTGGATAATCCGGGGTTAACAAAATCAGCTAATACGTCAGAGTTTGTCGATATAGCCATCTGTGAAACAGATGTACATCGGGAACTCCAGACGCTCGACAAGCACAAGTCGACAGGTCCTGATGGAGTACATCCAACCATAGTTCAATTAACCACATTGGGCCCGGAATGCGGTCGGGAGCGGTACGGAGCTCCACGTCGCCAATGCACCAACAGGGTCAAGTGATCGCTCGAACCGAGTGGCGGGAGGTGATCGATGCCGTCGACGTCCGATGCTCGAGGGGATAACACCAAATCCAGGCAGAGTCATTGATCCTGGTGGGCTCGCGGGAATGCTGATGCAGGGTCAACTGGTTCGCTACTTTGAGGAGGTCTCTGGAGAATTGGTACGCTCCCGGTAGGCAGCGGTTTTCGTTCCAATCGATTAGGGGCACATTGAAATCACCCAAAATCAAACAGTGGCCGTCGCCAGCCCATCGCCGCATATTGCCCAGGATGGCCACCGGGGCTGTCGCTGGTGGTCTGTAGCAGACTCCTATCATCGTGTAGCCGTTGCAGCACAGTTTGGTTTTGCACCACAGCGCTTCTCCCTGACCGTCAGGATCCGCGTAGCTGTAGAGGTGAGTAACCGGTACACTTTCGTGGATAAACAGCATGACGCCCCCACACATCCTTGGTTGTGCACGGTCCGAACGGAATGATGCATCCTCCGGGAGCGAGACCTCAGAGTCAAGAACGTCGGGGGTGAGCCAGGTTTCGGTG